CTTTTGCATAGTCAATGAAGCAGAAGTAGATGTTTTTCTGGAACTCTCTGGCTTTCTCCATAATCCAGCACATGTTAGCAATTTGGTCTCTTGTTCCTCTGCCCCTTCGAAATCCAGCTTGTATTTATGGTAGTTTTGGTCCACATATTGCTGAAGTCTACCTGAAGAATTTTGAGCATAACCTTGCTAGCGTGTGAAATGAGTGCATTCATGAGAATAATGCAGTTCTTAAGCTATATAAAATAATATAAATGTTAAAGGCTTGTATCACATTCATGTAACTGTTTTGAAAAGAGGTAGGACTAGTTCTCATATCTGGTGCAGCTAATTAGGCATCCTAAGATTAAGGTTAAAATTCATTGTACATGTGCAATGCAATCCTCTACATTTTCTAAGTTAATAAATGTGTTGCCAGCTTTAAAAAGTGTATGTTTTCTAGGCTGATAAAGGTGCTACCAGTAGAAGTTCTGCATCTGTCTTTCCCCATGAGAAGGAACATTTTAGAGAGCTGAAGAAACTGTGGACTATGTATAAAGTGGTTTATCAGTTCATTCTTGGGATGGAAGTCTGGGACAGTGTAGCTTATCCAAGTCCACACAGGTGGCAGGGCACTTAACCCCATCATCTGTACATACTCTGGCTGATCTTCTTTGGTCTCTCTCTTGGGAGGCACAGTGGGAATTAAAATTTCCAACTCTTGGCTCTGCAGCCAGGTGCGCCAATCTACCAAGCTATACAGGCATTTAGTTTGAACCAGCCCATAGACACTGCTCCTGATACACTATAGCTGTTTTGACTGGCCGTTTATCAGTAGTAGAACTGCATGCATTTGCAACACAGTGCACAGTTATCTAGTCATGAGGAGCATCAAGACATTATTAGACTTACGCATCACACCCTTAGAAGACCAAAAGCAATGACTGTAGTCCTATCATAGTTCTCCTCCAATGTAAGAATGTTATCCTCTACAAAAACACAGGTGCCTGTTCTAGTTGCTGTATAACAAGGCTGGGGAGGGAGCCTGTAGCTCTCTAGATAATGTCAAACTTTGGTTCTCATCAGCCCCAACCAATGTTGTAAGTTGTGAGAAATGATCCAAATAGGAGCATCTTGGCATCCAGAGAAGTGCTAGTTTTACACTCCTGCTATACAGTGACTCCGAAATGATTGATTCCTGCCCACGTGTCATACATTTTGAGATGAAAAAGGCAGGAAGACAATACAGATGCTTGACAATGGCATAGTAGACCGTTCAGTTAGTATCAAAAAATGCAGAAATTATGATGTTCTGTGTATAGAGAAGGGTCTTGAAAATAATTTTGTCCTCTAAGAATGCTACTACTGAAGTAATATATTCTGTTTAAAGATTTAGTACAAAGTGATGCTTTTTCTGTCCAAGAAAAGATAGTTGCAGGGAAACATATGTTACTGCATCATTCACAATCACTGCCAGTGCCAACTCTTTTCCCACAAATGAGAGAAAGACTATATTTTTTTCCTCCTGAACCTAAAAATCAAGTAGACTGGTAAGAATTGTGAAAAGGGTAATTGTAGCTTTTGCCTGGAAGATATATTGAAGGATACCAGGAACTTTTTCAACTACCATAAGAAAAACTTTTAAGCCCTTTAACTATATAGAGAGCACGTTAAACACATCCTTAGGAGAAATAAAGATTAAACTGATCAGATAAGTAGCAATCTGATATAAAACTTCATCTCTTGATCTCTAGCATGGATATATCTCACCCTGGCAAGTGTTTTGTGTTGTAATCTGCTGGCTGTTTTCTTTCACTTGAAAGTTGTCTACACTCACTGTTATAGTGAATATAATGCATTTGCCATTTTCTAAAACTACAGTATACTTAAACAGCTGAAAACTTCATATTCCTTTTAAGAAAAATAGTGAAGCTTGGAGAAGGAATGTGAAGGTTCGTTTTCTGGGGCTGTGTGTACTTCCAATAAAGGATGAGACGGGGGTAACAAGTCAAATGGTTCGGTATTTATTGCTACATCAACATTAACGGGGTTAGGATTCAAAAACGGGTTCAAAGTCTCTTGCAATTCCAAACTTGGTTTCAAAGGTGTCCACAAACTGTTAATGAACGGGTTAGTGTTCTCCAGGTTCCAAGGTCCTGTTAAGGGCTTCACAGAACTTGGAACTGGGTTCAGTTCTTCTTCTAAAACAATCAAGGGAACGGTTTCTTCATCCCCACTCCAGTCCCCCCAGGACGACCCCTCTCCATCATCGGCCATCCATGGCCCGGGAAACCCCCCAACTTCTGTAACTTGGCTATATGCCATGCCTTTTTCCGTTCCAACTCACGGGCCACCGCTTCTCTCTCTTCTCTCAGTTTCCGTCTCCACTCTTTGGCTTCTGTCTCTCCCCAATACGAGGGACAAGGCTTGAGACCTAGCTGTCGTCTTTTTTCAGCTTCCTCGCGCGGCACCCGTACCTGCTCCCACTTGTGTGTCCATGGATCTTCCATCCAGATCCATTCCCCACCGCCCGGGATCTCTTCCCACTTCCCCCTTATATCACCTACCGCCGCTTTGATCTCCTCCCCCTTTCTTCCCACCAAAGTTCCCCCAGACCTAGGGGTAATATTTAACTCTTTCAAGGTTGATTCCAGGTCGCTAGTATCTACCCCTTTGTTCTTCTTAGGGGATTCTGAGGTTTCCTTCCCCCAATCAAGAGTCTCCACTCCTCTCTCTTCCCGACGCGGTGGTGTAGGAGGTGGAGATGTTTGAGTGTGTTGGGCCCTCTATGGGAGTGACGGCACTCCTACCGGGGCCTCCATCTTGGGGGCCTCACAAGGAATAATACAGTATTTTATGGACTTGTGCTATTGCATTCTGGGTTGTTTATCTGAACACAGAGATAGTATCTTCCCAAGAACTGTAAAAAGATTAAAATCTCCCTGTGGTAGACTTGACTCATGGAGAAATTGAGTGAAACACCCATTGCCTTGAACTTCAATCTGCACATAACATAGGCCAGTATAGAGTATATGTTTAAGGTAAGTGGAAATTCCATCCTAAATCCACTGCTTTTAAATAAATCCCTGATTCTCCTATATCTGATTCTCTTTTTAAAGGCTGTTCTGTGAGTAACCTGGTAGACTGAATCTTCTGTCTCTTTAGTTATGGGATCATGACTACAGTATACATTTTCTCTCAGCTGAAGCTTTTGGATTTAATTTGCAGGTGATGGCAAGTGTGTCATCTGTGACTCTTACGTGCGGCCCTGCACATTGGTACGCATATGTGATGAGTGCAACTATGGATCATATCAAGGGCGCTGTGTGATCTGTGGAGGTCCTGGAGTCTCTGATGCTTATTACTGTAAAGAATGTACTATCCAGGAGAAAGATGTAAGGCAATTTTCTTCTTTTTGCTAATAATCATTCTTAAAGATTGCTACTACATAGCGTGCTCAGTAAATATATGAACATTCAGATCTTTCAATCCTGACATCTGGTATAACAGTACTTTCAAAAATGTGTACAGGTCTCTTTCCACAGTAATTTGAAATGAGCTTTCTCATTTCACTTGCTTCCAAAATAATGTATATCTGCAATCCTATACATAGCATTTATTTATGCATTTGTTCACAGTAGTGGAATAATTAAAAAAAATACAGCTGCTATGAACCACTGGTATGGGTATGTAGCATTAGCTAGTAGGTCTTTTAATACAGTTATGCTCTTAACAATTGTGTGTTATATGTCTAACATTGGTATCAGATATTCTTTAGATTTTGTAGTTATAGTTGCCTTTCTGATGTATTAAACTGGCAGCAGTTAACGTTACTGTCCTAGAAATTATGTTTATCTGTTTCAGGAGTACCTCATAGCCTGGTGAGGTTCAAACAGCTCAACACTGAATGATTCCGTAAAATGTCTTGCATCACAAGGGAATAACTATCTGGTTTAGATAATATCTGGCTTTTTTTTTTTAAATGAATACAAAAGTTCAAAAGAGAGCATGAAGCGTGACAGTACAATAACGAACAATAGGAATCAGCAATAATTAGTACGTAGGCAGGGTTTGGGGGAAAGCATTTTTTTAAAAAAAGAAAGGGCTTTTCTCAGGGCTGATTCACCATTTATATTTTTCATGATTTGCAGTTAAATGTATAATGAATATCTCCATTTAAAAGTACTGTGCTTGAGATTGCATAATAAGACTTGTACTCTACGATTTTGGGGTTTGGGGGAGGTCTTGTAATCAAAAGAGTTACTTTTCAAAACTGATTATGTGAGGCAAGCAACTTGGTTGCTGCAGGTCTTTTAGACTGCAACTCAAACCCAAGGCCAAAGATCATGGGGAAACCCCATAACTAGAGTTCATAGCAACTTCAGCTCTGATAGTAGAGTAGATATATTGCATCTACTGAGAAGGCAGAATTGTTAATGGAATCTAGTGCCAGAAAAAATCCCTGAATATTATCTGCAAATGGATTCCTCTAATTGTCTCCCTACCATGATTCCCCTCCTTCTGTTCTTTCTGCCCTGCCTCATCACACCTATTATTTGGCACTGTGTTTCCCCGAAAATAAGACAGAATCTTATATTATTTTTTGCTCCAAAAACACATTAGGGTTTATTTTCAGGACATGTTTTATTTATTTATTTTATGTACAACAATTTACATTTATTCAAATACAGTCATGTCATTTTCTGGTTGATGCACAATGATGGAGGGCGGGGTTTCACTTAACTGGGGCTTATTTTGGGGGTAGGGCTTATATTACTAGCATCCTGAAAAATCATACTAGGGTATATTTTCAGGTTAGGTCTTATTTTCGGGGAAACAAGGTACTTGTGATGGGCCTCTTCCACCTATGGTACATATTCCAAAGTAAATTATCTTCTGTTTGTTCAGCCTTGTATAACCCTGCAGCTGCTATTCTAAAAGTTAGATTCGTAACTTCAGTAATCGTTGTAGATAATATTGTCTTTTTACATTACAGTACGTCCATCCATCCATACCACTATCAAATCCTCTGTGTTAAGAAATTTACCTGTGTAGTAAAGTGTTTATCTATCTGCCTTACCAAAAGCTTGCAGTTAACATGGAGGACTTCTTCTCTACTTAGTCATATCTTGATTTGCCTCCAACTAGTAGCAAAAGTAATAGATATCCAAGTATACTTTCTGGAAGTTGTTACTTTTCTACCTCAGCTTATGGAGAATAGCCTTGCATTTTTTGCAATTCTTTAAAAAATATACTGTATTTTTTGCACCATAAGACTCACTTTTTTCCCACAAAACAGGGGTGTGGAAAGTCTGTGCGTCTTATGGAGCGAAAAATACGGTAGCTCATTTTTGCAGCTGAATAGATTAGCAAACAATACACAGGGTCTGATGGTGGAACTGAGAAGTTTGTAGGAAAATTGTTTCTGGCAATATTGTATGTTTTAGTCCAACTGGTGTCCAAATGCTTTTATTTTAAGGGTTTAATATTTTATGCGAACTTTTCCACCAAGCCAAAAAAAAGAGATGTAGTTCATGCCTGCATGGTGCTATTCATGTAACACTTCTGCAGGCGTGTTGCACAGTGGGTCAAAACAGGAACTGTGCAACCAAATGTGCAGTCAAATTGTGCCATCCCCATTGCCTGGGCAGAATGCCCAGCACATTTACACAAGTGTAAAGTTATGCTTTTTGTAGACAAACAGGATTCTGACTACTGGGTAAGTAGGGTTAACCTCTAAGAAAGTGTATGTAAAAGTTCAGTTCAGATGTAGAATATTACCTTTCCTTTTATTAGGTGTCAGATGGAAAGAAATTATAGCTGTCTATATGGGGGGAAAGGTGGGTGCAAAATCTGGTGGTGAACATGGTAAATGTAATAATTGTTTGTACACCACTGACATGTATTGAATTTGTGGTGGAAAACTGCACCACTAAACAGGCATGACTTTGCTGCTTTTTCATGAGAAAAATGTGAGAGATTTTTACCATGAGATAGCAGGGAAATTCTACATGTTTGGTGTTGCTTGTGAAGAAGTGTTCTATGCTGACACATTTCAGCTGTTTACGAATGAATAATACATTTCTTTCATTTAGCACTAGTCCTTTTGTCTCCTTGCAGACATGGTGCTTGTCCTTCTACTGTATCACCTGTTGTTAAATAAATTTCAGCATTTGTATTCCACTTGGGTACAGATTAATGTGTCTTCATCTCTTGTCACAAATTTGGTGCAGCCTCCATGAAGTAGCCTGGTTACCCTTATTATAATTACCTGTCTCTCCTGTTCCTTTTCAGCGAGATGGCTGCCCCAAAATTGTCAATTTGGGCAGCTCAAAAACAGATCTGTTCTACGAGCGAAAAAAATACGGCTTCAAGAAAAGGTGATCCCTTCGCCACCATGGTATGCCTGCCAGAGAAAGGAAGACTCCCTACTACATCTTTGGAGTAGAGCTCTACTGGAAAGAAGTCAACTTTTGTTTTGTTTTCCATTCTTACAATATGTTGGAAAAATTAGAATCTGCCAATGAACTTGGAGGCTCTCTGGCTTCTGTGCCCTTCCTAGCAGCAGTTGTTACTGAGGGATGTACTACTACTCCATCTGTATCTCAGATGCAAGTAGTTGCAAATTCAGCCCTACTTAACCTCAATTCTACACATTTATAGGAAAATGTGCTTGCTTCTTTTTTGACAAATAACTTTTGCTGTGAGTTCTGACCATCCCTGCGTTTTCCCTAAAATAACAATGAGATAAAATTCTATGTTCCTGTAGATTGTACATCAATAAAATTTTATAGCAGTCTTATACTGGAACTTGTTCCCTTTGCTTCTCTCTATACAATTAGTCTATCCTTTTGGTTGTTAGAATCATAATTGTAGAGCTTGAAAAAGACCCCAAGAGTCATCAAGTCCAATCCTCTACAAAAACCATGGATTAAAAATTATCAGGAAAACACATAGAATGTAGTTGCAGGATTGAAGTCCATGATATAGAAAAGGATTTAAAAATAATTGTTGGCGTTGCCCTAATTTGCATTTCCTGTGTCAGCATTATATGGTTATACTACAAAACTACAATTCATGTCTACAGCTGAAAAAGTCTGTTTACAACTTGAAACTTACCCGGTTTTGTTCCAACGTAGTTATCCACCTGGAACTAACTCAACAGGAGGAAGACAAAACCTTAATGCTAGTACGGACAAAGTCTTATTAAGAAGTGGATTATAAAGAGATGAATATTGCTCTGCCTAGATTTAATCTTTCTATTCCATAAATGGCAGCACTGACCACTGGGTTCTAAATCATAGTGAGATGTTGTACTCCCCATAGGGCTGTAAGTGGGGTGAAAATGTGTTAATAGCATGGCCTTTTTACCATGGTGGGCTCTACCTATTAGAAATCACCTCCACAAAACAGGCTCAGCAGGAGTAGCAACAAGCTGTTTTAACCTACTCCTAACCCTCAGCATCCCTTTGGTCTAGGATTTCTGAAATTGACTACATTCATTTCAAAAGTGCAGTGCTTGTTTGGCAAAACATTCAGTGAATAATGCTTCTGTAGGAACAAATAGCATGTTTCTCAAACATTGTTTCAGAATATTCTATTGTTTTAAAAACACTATGAAATGTGAATATTAATCTGCAGTATTAATTGCTCAATACTCCTGGCTTTTCCCACATTAAAATAAGTAATTTTTTTAAATTGCTAACATCATTAGGAGACTGGTATTGAGCTCCTGCTGGAAAACAATAAGGTCTGTAACCTTTAGTTTTGGGATTGGAATGCAAATTCTCAGACCCAGATAATGCAAATAATGGCTTCGTACATCATGCACAGACGTGCAATATAATCAAATATAGGTGATGGCTCTGACCCTCATAAGTCTGGTACCTGAAGAACTTAACTAAATCAGAGGAATAAAAGATGTGTGGTATGGAATGTCAAAAAAGGATGTGCAGGAAAAGGAGAACAAGGAGGGTGAGAAGGAACTGAAGATGAAAAGCAAGTTGGAATAGGGTTTCTACATTCTACTTTGTTTAGTACATTAGATGAATGGCGGGCCCTTTGGTATGAAAAGAAAGTACATCGAGATTTACATAAGTTATTAGCATGAATATAGCTTCTGCTTAACACAGATGTCTTGAATTAGTGTTTGTAAGGCTCAAGATTCCAGCAAACATGACAAGGAAACAAGGGTGTTCAGGCAGAAGGTGGGTTTGTTCTGAATTCCATAGTTTCTGCACAAGTTGTAGATCACCAAGCTGATCCCAGTTGTGTGTGACAACTATCTTTGGGCTCAATGAATCCGGTTTTGTTGCCTCACTGAAAAATAGGGGGTTATCAGGTCATTTGCTGACCACAATACAGTATCTGGTGGATTGCCTTTGACTTACAAGCTGTGCAGGCCATCTTTAGTAGATCTGGAAAATCAGTATTACTGTCATGATCCCAGTGCCCAATAATTTCAAAAACACTAGCATTTTTTTTTATTTCTAGTGGCATATTCTTATTTATTCTTCAATTATTCTTCAGTTTTAAAATGTAAAGTGTATTTTAAGACTTTCTTCCTCAGAAAGCACAGTGTAAACCCCACTTTGTAGGCTGATAATAGAAAGTAGATGAAGGGTAGCGAAGATTATGTCCTATACTGCTGTGCTTGTATTGCTTCTGTTGATTTTTTTAACCTCTTGAACCATTTCTAACTTCTGCAAAATTCAAACAAATATGTTTTTTTATCTAGTATCTGATTCCTCTGGAGGGCTGGACGATCCACTATAAGTTATAGATGGCAGGGTTTTTTTCTTACCAAAATACCATCTACAAGTGTTCATCTTTATGGCTGCATACAGATAGTCACCTTTATGGGGGGAAATACATGGTGCAAGGAAGAACACAATGGAGCTGGGAGTCAAACTTTCTTTTGTCCTTGCTATCCCCAGCCATGGTGAATTAAGCCCATTCTTATCTGTATAGCATTTTCTCTTTGTGTTTACTTTTGTTGTGCTATTACAGCAGAGTATAACAGAATATTGGGTACTGCAGATGAGTGGAGAATATTTTTTAAACTTTTTTTCTACAGTATTTTACTATGCTTATTTTTCTATTTTTTCCTATTTTGCTATGCTTATTGAAGCAGAGCAACACATCTATCTCACTGGAAAACATTATTTTTAAAGGTTTGTTTTCTTTCAAGGGATTTGTGATTTTCAATGCAAAGCCAGAGGCAAAAATATTAAACAGATACACTGGTTCCTTGGTTGAACTGGAAGGAGAGGAAGTTCAGAAACCATAGCCATCTATATGTGATCGTCACTGAACAATATTAATCTTTATTAATGTCCCACTTTGGCAGGCTTGATTGATATTTAATATACATCTATTAGAAACTTTTTCTTTGTTATCATTTCACTCTGAACTACCCAAAAAAAAAAAAAAACTTACCGCAGGTGTAGGATGAGTAGAGTTTTATATAATGAGGTCACCTTTTAGACGTTTTGCATAGGCATTATAAAACAGTTGACCTGCTAAGTGTTGTGTTTTAATAATGATAATCACATAGCTTCCTCATAGACTTCTATCATAATAACAAGGGAACTGTCAGCTGGAAAATGTGTTAATATGTTGCCAGATAATCAAGAACCAATCCTCTGAGGACATCCCATTGGCATGCTTCCACTGGAGAGGATGGGTGTTTTGCAAGAACTATATCCTTCCACTGTTCTTATCTATTTAGCTGGGACTTTAGCATTAGCTTTAGCATTTGACTTGTGCAATAGTTGTTCAGTATAGCCTTTCAATTAGCCTTGCTAAAAGGGAATTCTTATGTTCTGGTATGGGTCAGTGTACCCCACTGGATATATAGCTGACTGAGTTGTTTTAAAAAGGCAAAATTCTTCCAATATTTTGTCCATGCTGGAAAAGAAGTCATAACTACTAAGTTAGGACTGGGTCATGTGAAGAGACATGCAAGAGCCAGTAATAACCCATTAGTAATCACCTGAATCATTTAGTCACATGCTTGATCATTTTTCTGAACCTTATATACAACCATTTTAAAACTGATGTCATGAAGAGGCTGGTTGTGAACTCAAATGCTTTCTCTGTTAGGTCCCCCACCCAATTTTGCCCTATTAAGCATAATTGTATCAAGAAAGCAAATTTCTAATCCAGGCAGACAGAAGGTAGATCTGGATCAACAGGCATTTCTGACTTCTAAGTGCCAAGTGATGGTAAGAGAATGGCTCTCCCACTCCATATTATACTGTACTACTGAACTGTAGAAAATCTGAGGTAACTGATCCTGGATAGCAAGACTGGATATAATTCAGAATTTCTAAACTCGGGATTCTTCCATTCTAAACGTACATCTTTTGCTCCAGATTGGAAGATTATTTGGGATTAACCAGTTTGCTCTTATGATATCTTCTGTGTTTTACACCTTAGTGGTGATTTATGGCATGCTTCATAGCAAATTGTTTATTTGAAAGGCAGGAAAGAACTAATTTTCTTGGAGTTCCTCTTGTGATGTGAAGGTAAAGAATGTTGGTTGATGACTGAATGCTAATTATATTCAGTAATACTAGACTGACTAGTATTTCCTGGTATTAAAAGTTCACACTTAACTAGTATAACAGAAGGGTGTTTTTCCTGTCCTGTGTCTGGTTGATTCAGGAGGTGTAATTTAATATAATATTAGCTAAATGCTACATGATCCCATAACTGCCTTCCATTTTATCTGTGTGTTTTTCTTGGAATAATTAACATTAAAATAGCTGAATTTCAACCTGTTTGTTAATAAATCATATTTTCTCAAATTCTTATGGGAAAAACTATGCACACATAAGGGAAACCATGCAACCATTTTTGCATATTTTCTTGTTATTCATTATCCAAGCAGGTGCACAACTGCTTCTCTTACCCAAGGGAGCAGAGGAACATGCTGAGAGGACAGCAGTGCAGCTAGACTCGTTTGCAAAACGGCCTGCTTATGTTGTGTGAAATCAACAGGATTCTGGTCATTAGAATGAAAAGTCTGGCCTTAAATGCATGGTTATGAGTAAGGCTCATTGTTTCATCCTATTTAGAACTAGAAATTATATTAATCCAAACTGAGAGCTGGTATAACTAAGTGGGTAGGAGTGCAGAACCATAGATTGGTAGTTTGCATTCTTACTATGTTTCCCAGGAAGAGGGCCACTGAAATTATCGGGCATGTATGTGGTTGATGGGTTAAGTGTCCAGCATTCCTGTGGTCTTGGGCAAGTTGCACAGTTCCAGAGCACCACCAAAAGGAGAAAATGGTAGTTTGTTTCCAAATGTTCTGTATCTAGAAAATATGAGAGAGCTGCCGGAAGTCAGAATTTATTTATTTATTTATTGTATTTATACCCCGCCTATCTAGTCATTTCAACCACTCTAGGCGGCTAGAGTGCTGATGCTGTCATTATCATTTACTTGCTGATGCTGTCATTATCATCATCATCATCATTATCCTTATCTTTATATTAAAATTTAACTGTAGATTATTTCCAAATGTTCTATATCTAGAAAATATGAAAGAGCTGCCGGAAGTCAGAATTTACTTGCTGATGCTGTTATTATCATCATCATCATTATCCTTATCTTTATAGCTGATGCTGTCATTATCATTTACTTGCTGATGCTGTCATTATCATCATCATCATCATTATCCTTATCTTTATATTAAAATTTAATTGATTAGTCTAGCACATGAGTTTGAAAGCCAGTGCGGTATAGTGAACAGAGTACTGCGCTAGTACTCATGAGACTCGAGTTCAAATCCCTTT